CTAGGTGTATGGTGTCAAGTTAGCACTACATACCATTTTTTCTTAAAAAACGAGAGCTACAAATTTTTTCTTTCTACAACAAATTTACAACAAAAACACTACAATTTATGCCGTAGTTAACTTTTCCAATTTCGAAAAGTGTAGTGCTAACTTGGCACACGTCACTCAGTGAGCTATGGCCTGCCGACCACTGCATTATAGCATAGACAAATGGCAAGTTAAATCCGGATTAACGGCGCAGTTGGTCTGATCAAAATTGTACCCTGATAGACGGCAGTATTGCGGATTAAGGGAGCCGCGACGGCGGGCGTTCGAATTCGAGTGGACATCGAACCTGGTTCCTACTCAGTTGTAGCACATAGTTCTGACCACTTGGACTCCAAATTCTTTTAATTTTTAACCGACTTCCAAAAGGGGAGGAGGTTATTAGTTCGTCGAATATTTTTTTTATGTATGTTACCGCATAACTTTGGACCACGTCAACCGATGTCGATAATTCTTTTTGCATCGGAAAGGTAGTGTCTCAGAGGTGGTCCCATCTGGTTTAGATCCGATCATTGGATCATGAAATATATATATATATATATAATATTTTGATGTGTATACATCTTTGGTTTCGGTAGGGGTAAAATTTGAGAATCTGTAACGCATATCCCAGCACAAAATTGCGAAGGGCTTTAGCATGTCTATTTCAGCATACAATTTTTGGATTTTCATTAGAAGAACCCTGTGTTTGCTTGCTATTGTAAATGGTTGCATACATTTAGGCATATGCATAGTAAGAGGAAATGCGGTACAGTTGATTATTACTTCCGATTATGCAAACTCCGCACATGCATACTGCTTTGTACCTAGGTATGTACACACATATGTATGAACTCATTTGTTGCAACTGGTTTTGATATTCGTAGATGCTTTTAGGCATAGGTTTAGTGGTCTATTTTGATAAAAAAGCAAGGCGAAAATTAAAAAAAAATACTGAAATCATTTTAACAAGGATCGTTGATAACTGACGATATATGTAACCGCCAAAATAACGTAAGCGACATTTTTTTTTTTTAATTTTCTTTTTGATGCAGAAATGTGTCTAGATGCTCTAGGAATATTTCTGCATCAAAAAGAAAATTTTGAAAACAATGTCGCTTACGTTATTTTGGCGGTTAGGGCTCGATATGTATGTTTAATATGAATATGTATGGACAATTTAATATCTCTGATCCAATACTTTTCGCGAAACATCCTGGAAAGAGGTCAAACAGCAAAATCACTCTCCGAAGTGAGAGTAAAAAGTGAGTAACAGCAAAACTTACGCAACTCTCCAAAAATCGCTCTCATTTACATACATATAAAAGATTGCCCACATTTTCGAACTTAACTCCCTAACCTGTAATTAGAAAAAGAGGTTAGCCATACAAAATTATAATTATAAACATATCCCAGATTAAACCGATAACTTTTTGGGGTCCAACCTAGTTTTATCGATTATACTTGCGAAGAGGAGGAGGAATGTCAAATGTAAAAGTAAACAAAAATTGGCGCTAGTAAAGAAAAGAGGTTTGTAAAGGTATTTTTAATAAAATATTCAGTTAAAATATATTTAAATGGCATAATATGTGTTGCAGAAAAAATTGACCACGGTGGCACAGAGAAGAAGTTTAACTTTTCCCCGAGTTGTGTGAATAACAAGCACAACCAATTTGACAGCTAACGAGCTTTGATTGAGATTACATTTATATGTAAACATCATTTTACGCTTTGCAGTTCGCATATGCTTACACATCAAATTTCATGAATACCTAGTACTCACGCTTTCTTTTCGGTTTTTGCTAAAAATTACTTGTTTTTATTCAGAGAACAAAGAATACAAAAAACATGCAAAACTGGCATCGACATTAGAAGGCTGCATGAATTCATTCAAAACGGCTTATGAATTATTCATATACAAAACGAATGAATGATTTTGGCTTAAATTTTTTTTTGAATTGGAGTGAATACCTGTTCTGATATATGTGTCGACATTAGAATATTCAAACAAAGTGAAAATAAATTGAATTGAAATAAATGACAATTTTTTGTATGAATGTCCAAACCAAGGCGAATTTATATAAGGTGGTGTTACTAGCTCTGACTAGCTGATTTTGTGTGTGTGTTTCGCCGCACGGCTTCTGATATCAAATTGAAAAATTTTGTTTGAATTTCTACACACACTCTTACAGATTTTGACAGTTTATGCCGCCAAGGCAAAAACAAAATACATGTAAATTTTTATTTTGTACTCCTGCTATCACCTTATATTAATTCGCCTTGGACCAAACATTTTTTTTCTGTGCACATATGTACAAACATGCATTACATACATATGCATACATATTGCTGAGCTCCTATTACAATACGAACAAACTTGTTTGTAGAAAAAAAACTTTTACCGAAATGAGTTTGAATGATTTTAACGTTTTCCATTCATTCATTCATTCTTCCATTTGAAGGTAGAAAATTTAAAACAAAAGGTATATTCATAACTTACAAAATTCCATACATTGAGTGTTTTGTATGTGAAGTAAAATATTGAAATGTACTGTACTCTGTTTGGCTAGAAGTTTGAATAAATTCATACAGCCCTCTAATAGACTTGTACCTCGTCGTCGACTGCATTAGTCATCATACTGATTCGAATAAGTTCTCATTCAATTTCAATTTGATTCCTATATGAATTAGTATGGAAACTGCATTACTGACGAGGAAGTAGATGTCCAGGCTAATTTTGCATGTTCTCTGTAATCTATGTTTTCATTTATTGCCCCGAAATCAGATCTAAACGATTTAATGTTTTGGGGATTACCTTAAACGCGAAGAGTAGAACACTCGAAAACCTCGAAAGATTTGGAGGCTATTCTTGGGAATGCACCTTTTTGTAGCTTTGTAAGAAATGAGGGAATTCCGAAATTTTGCAGTTCAGTTAGAGTTTCTTTGTATATTACATGGTATTAAAAAGCTGAAGCAAACATAAAAGCAAAACATTCAAAATGCATTGAAAAAGTGCAAAAACGTAAATTGCATGAATTGAAAGACCAAAACGCAACACTGAAATTTAGGAACTACTTTACATAAATTTTTTGACAGTTGTTTTTCGAGGCTGAACAAGTTTCGAGGTTTCAAGGTTTTCGAGCTATTTTCGACTTTAAAGGAATACCCTTATTATTTTGTTCCTCACCGTGGATGGTCTTCCTACAATTTGTAGAAGGACACAAGCCATTAATTTTAAATTAACTTCAGAATTGGAAAAGTCGTGTACATATCGCTCATTTACTTCAATAGTGTCATAATTCAAAAAAACAAAACTTAAGAAATTTACATATCGTTATCTTAATTCACAAAGGCCACAACAACCAACACTTTTTCCGAAGCTGTGTTTTTCACAGATTATGGTAAAAGGTATTAAAATACACCTTCAATAAAATTTTTAAAGTGTTATGTCCAAAAACAACGGAGCCACTTTTTAAAAAGCCCTACCTGTTTTTGATACTCCTCTTATAATGTTTTTTGCTTCTCCTGAAAAAAAAATTGTTGGTTAGGGTCTTTGTGAATTAGGTTAACAATCATGGGCGTAGCCAGGTATGGACGGGGGTGTTCGAGCCTTCCCTGCCCCCGTAACTATCAAGTTTTCTCTATATGTATATATAAAAACTAGTACACTGAAATGCTAGCTTAATGGTACAATAATTATAATTTTATCAGTAATTTAAAACATATGTATATATTTAAATGTTTTTTCTTTGATTTCAGGCTTTTAGTGGCTTCACAGGACGGATACTTGTATGTATATTCAATTCCTTCAATTGAGGGCGCTGAATGTCAGCTTATTAAGAAGCATGATATACGACTCGACGACTCCTACGCAATGGATATTAAAGGCAGGCATTCTTAGAACTTACATTCCATTGACACATTCTGAATATTCACTGCTTGCAGTCACTTGACATCAATCACTGCTCTTGAACTCATATTTTAGTTATTTTCTATAAAGCAATTTGGGGTACTCATGAAAACTCATAAACTCTTCGTAGGTTTGCATTTCTTCTCACCAACATGACTTTTCAAAACTTTGCAAATTTTCTAGTGTGCAACGAAGCGATTTGACAAAAAATCATGATAATGCGTATACATGAATAGAACTTATAGTAGTGGTATTCACCAAATTGAGCAAGTGGCCTGGCACTCTTGCAAAAGTGCAGATTAGCTCAAGCAACGACTGTTGCAACGTTGCCAAACCACTTGGTCAATTTGGAGAATACCTACTCACAAAATACCTAAAAACTATGGTCATTACGAAATTAGCAACTGAAGAAACAAAAATGTTATATGGGGCCTTTCTTAGGGTTAATCGTGAACTACTTCGGTCTCTTCGCTAATACGCAAAGTTAAGGACGCAGAACTTGTTTTCTTCTTATGTTTATACTCATAAGGTTACTTCCCCCTGTTAAAACTAATTTGATCTTCTTAGTTCTTTTTTCAATGTTTCGTCGTTATTGAGTTAAGTAAGATAACGATATGTAATAAACGACATACGCAAAAATTTGCTTCCTATTGCTACTAACAGATGGAAGGAGATTGTGAATTTCGATAAATTTTCGTTAAAAGTATGTTCGTTCTCCAGTATTGTCTCCTAATGGGCTTACTATATTAAATTTATGTAGAAAATTATGCAATTTTGCTATACTCGATACCATTGCTTTGGTCAAATATCAATATGGCGGAAACCCAGCAAACATAGTCTCTAACGTTAGAGAAACATTTTGATTTTACATTGGAATAAATCAGGTTAGAGAACTATGTTAGAATTCGATGATTAGAAAAACACTAGACATTTGAAACTAATTAAAATTCAACGTTAGGACACGATTAGATATCTAACCTTTTTCTCGATATCGAGAACTAGTTCCCCTTTTGTAGATAATGCAATAATTCTCGACAGTTTCTCTAATCCTCTTCTAACCTTCTACCTTAGGGAAACATTTAAAGATTTCGAATCGTTTTCCAATCGTTTTCTAACTTTAATGTCTGTTGGGAAGAAAATAAAATGATTTTTGTTCAAATTTCTCTAGCAAACAGGAAAATACCACCATGGCTACACAAATGGCTAGAACAAAGGGGAAATTTTGTCTTGTTTGTCAAGTTATGTATGGGGAAATAAAAAAGTAGGTTTGCAGATGTACATATCTCTGCTCTTTGCAAATCAAATACAAATTTATACAACAGACATTTAGGACTATCTAATTAAATGATGATATTTCCGCTTCAAAACATGATAATATCGCTCTTTTGCCGGAAGAATATGATAACTCAAAATATACATGTTTTTTTTTTTATTAAATGACCTCCTGCCCTTCCTTTATGTTGTGTGTAAACAAGTCATAAGAAAAAAATCTGTCTTTTTTGCTATACCTTTAACCAAAATAAAAGGCTTCACCGTCTATGAAAAAATTCCCAATCGATAGTTAAAAATGTCCTGAATCGCATATGAAAATTATCAAAAATAGATCAGTGCAGAAGATATCGAAAAAATAAAATATCTATAATTCTATATATGAACTCCGGATGGTTCAAAACAAAAATGGCGAGTTGCCAGTGTTTAAAAAATTTCGATTTAAGTTGATAAATTGAATTGAATTTCCATTTAGGTATCAAACTAATGAGGTTTAAGAAAGCTTAATTTGGAAAATATTTTTCACGAGGGTTGCCACATATTTCAAAATTATATTAATAAGGCTGTGTTTAAACAGATTCATTTAAGTGAAAATTATTTTAATTTAAAAATTTTTGGTTTCACCAATCAATTTTATTTTTGTTTTTAATTTTAATTTACGTGACCTATGCTCTTCACTTAAATGAAAATTAAATCAGCATGGCCACACTCAGGGATGCTATATTATTAATCTGCTGATCAATATACACAAACCGATATTGTGTATCAGCTGTTCACTTGTATACAAGCCCTGCTTTTACTACCACTTTTAGCACAGTGCTGCCATATTTTTACTCACTTAATAAAAAGTTTATTGAAACTGAAAAAAAAAATTCAATTGAGAAATAAAGAATTAAATTAAAATTAAATTCCACTTAAATTAATATTAAATTCCACTTAAATTAATATGGTGTTAAGATAAATAAATTATTATTACAATATGCGTATCAAGCGAATGAGGCTTAAGAAAGCTTGATTTCCAAAATACTTTTGAAGAGGGTTGCCATCTGTTTGAAAAATTTATAAGGAAAGTTAAATGTTGCATTATGGGAGTCAAAAAAAGTGATTTATGGAAGCTTAGCTTGGAAAATATGGTTAAGGAGGGTTGCCACCTGTTTAAAAAATTTAATTCAACTAAATTGATAAGATAAATGAATAATTACAATATGGATGTCAAACTGAAATAGTTTAAGAAAGCTTAATTTCTAGACATTTTTTGAAGAAGTGTGCCACCTCTAAAAAAATATATCAATTAAATTGATAAGATTAATTAAATATATAAATATTTTAAAGTATAAATACTTGCACAGTTCATAAAATGACAGCTGCGCGAATTCAAGAGAATGAAGAAACGGCAAACTGAAAAAATTGTGTTGAAAACTAGCCGACCTATTGCGCAAAGCGCTTTTTCCATTGAAGCGAGTGCACAGAAAGGGGTTGGACCTCGGGAAAGATGCTGCGAATAACGCGTAATTGGGGTTAAACAAATTTCGGAAATTTTTTACAAAAGAACTACACATTCTACAATTTTGTTTTCCATATCGATTTCGTATGGGATTTTATTATCTAGAATTTGTTTTTTTTTTTTCTTTCAATGTTTTTGTCTTTAACCCCTACAAAAACCGATCGTTATTAATTGTTTTCGTTACCGTCTGCACCGAACTATTTTTGATAATTTCGATATGTTATTTAGGAGATTTTTTCTATCGAATGGATATTTTTTCAACAACGGTGAATTAATTTCCCAGTTAAGCAATTTTTCCATATAATTCCATCAGACTGCACTCCATTTCGGGGTTTATGACCTTTGTTTGTTCGTTTGAGTTTTTTCTGTATGTTTTTGCAAATTTAAACTTATCGGAAAGATTGTGAGTTTTCAACAGTGCCAAAAATATATTTTTTAAATCCGGATAAATTTTACCGTTACAGTTGATTCACCGCAACCGCTGGGAGGTGGAGGAGCGTCTGTTACTCAGCATGCGACTGAAGAAGAGATATCTAAGCAGAATGCAGCTGGTGGGGCAACTTACGCTTCTGCAGTAAAAGGCGAAGAAAAGGCAGTGTTGCCTTAGATGTGTCGGTCGTTTAATGATTCGCTAGTACCACCATTAACTTCATAAACTAAGTATATGTATAAGTCTGTCAATAAACGAAGATTTAGGGTGCAAATAAAAATTCTTATGGCGGAATCTACTAGTGCAAAGCAACACATGAAAACGTAAAGACACGACTACATACAGCTTTCCCGTCGCTTTGGCGTTCGCCTTGCTTTGACAGCTGATTCAGAAAATATGCATTTAAATGAGCGCGTTGACGTGGCCAAAATTGGCAATGCTAATGACAAGACAAAGCAGAAAGATGGACAGCTACCAAAATTTCACACGCGCGCTCTGCCAGCTGTTTTTGTTAGTAATTTAAACTCTAGGGATCTTCACACCGAGCTCGATACCTCATCACTCAGTAGTATTCCCCATGTATTTTGTTAAAGGAAAATTATTTTACTGTCGGCAAGCTTGATAATTTTTCCTGGTAGCAAGTATACTGCAATCAGCTATTCGGAATTTACTCAATTTCAAATCCGCCTGCTGCTGAAAAGCATAACGCATATGAGTAAGTAAAAGTTAAATTTTCTGCTACAATTTATCTAATTTTTTTTTTTTTTTTTGGGAAAAAGCTACGAATCAGTTTTGGGTAAACATAATTTACCATACTAACAAAAGTAAGCTAAAACTGACGTTCACAGTTGATAAAACGACAGTTTACAGAAACTACCGAATTGAACGACAAGAAACAAATATCAAAATAACTTCGTTACTGTTCGGAGCTAAGTCAACCCAACAAAGTATTTTGATAATTACCTAAACGATAACAAACTGAAACAAATCATCGTCTTTTTCGGTAATACCGTTACGTTGCTAGCAAAAGAAACGCAAAATGGACAGGGTGCCAGCGGGCGAGCAAAAAAAAAACAGGCCTATAATTGCCAGGCAGCAAAGTGCTAATTATGGGTGTGTTCAGAAATGCATTAAGCCAAAGCAGCAGACACATTTATTTCTAAACTATAATTGATGGAAATGTCCAATATACGCAACCACGATTAAAAGCCTAATTGGAACTTAGTTGCGTAAATAAGGCATTTCCATCAATTATAGCTTAGAAGTAAAAGAGACTGATGCTTTGGCTTGAAGCATTTCTGAACGCACCCTATAGTATGCTCCAGAGTGGTTCGCGCTGCTATCTAAGCGAGGCGAAAGCGAACGCTAAAGTGCGATGCAGAAAGTTGTATGTATTTTTACTTACTTACAGTGGCGGAGAAATAAATATGGGCGCGACATTTTAACATATTTTGACTATTTTTCTTTTGTCAGGAAAATTCAAAGTTTTATCAAAATTTTAAACTTATTAATAAGAATTTTCGGAAAAAATGTGGTATGCATTTTTAAACCACATCAAATTTTAGTAATAAAGTGCAAGTGTGAAATTGCTAAAAATATACGTTGGTTTTTGATATTTCGATTACGAGTATGTTGAATAATAAATAAACAAAAGAAAATTACATGAAACATGTTAAAATGTCGCGTTCCTATTTATCTTTTCGTCATTGTACATATGAACATATGTGTATGCGTAAAATGTCAAATGCACGGGTAAGGTTACACACCTATGGAGAACAGCCCTTAGTAAAAAAATAGGTTATTTCAAAATATATTCAACAAATTCGACTGGATAAATGTACTTTCGCGGTAATGTGATGCAGTTTTATCTTTTATAGTCTAAGAGCAGTGCACAAATTTTTCGGAAATTATTTTCATTCTTGTAAAAAATTCAAACGAATTCAAATGTTACATTGTTTAAAATTTTAAACGCTTTTGACTGATGTTCTATTTTTCTTGGTTTTGAGACTAAAAGTTAGTTCAGGGATATCAATTGATTAAAATATTGTTTAAAATTTTATAAAATACCTTTCTAAATTCATATGTATGTATGTACATATGTTTTAATGTATGTCCTCTTTGTTTTTTCTCGTGTTTGTTTGCATTTGCTAAAATTAATCGACCACTTCAATGTATCGGCATAAGAGAAAACGAAACAAAAGGAACAAATACTAGTTTTAAATACAAGAAATTATGTTTTAATATACTTTAATAAAAAATGAAACAAACATTGAAAATAGCTGAAATCTATTTATTAAATACAGTAGCGAACAAAATAAGGGCGTCTTAAAAATGTGTGGGTATGTGGTTTTATTTATAAACAAAGGATCATTTAACAAAATTTGTGAAGAGACTATTTTGACGCCAGTGTTACCAACATAAATATCTATTTCCGTGAAGATTACTATGCGTTTGGCGATATTTTAATTACCAATAATAAAAAAACTGAACGAAAATCTTTTTTTGTCATGACCGACAGGGGAAATATTTAATATTAACTTAACAAATTTGGAGTATAAAAAATATCTATTGTTAACAATAATGCAGTTTTTTGCATTCGACAGCCTAACTTGTAGAGTATCTACGAATCTTCACAAGCTATGGTTACTGGTCTCCCAAAGGAGCATACGATTCCTCTAATATTCTTCCGCATTAATTTTAAGTTTATTTGTATGTACACTACAAAAAAACGTCTAAAAAATAGCTATTTTCGACGAGTTATAGAACAATTTTTTCTTGAAATCTCTTTCAAGAGCTTTAGTATTATCGTGTAGCTTACATTTTGGCTTAATAAAGCTATAGAGAGTCCACATTTTTATTGTTTATCAACCTTTAGCCATTCTTTGAGAAATTCTAAACTTGTAATTTAACACACAAAAAAAACTAGTAATTTTAAAGTAAACACAAAACCGACTTCGATTCTCATATAATCAGTTTTCATGATCCAATGATCGGATTTAAACCAAATTAGTATGGGACCACCTATGAGGTAAACCCGTTCTATTAAAAAAAAAGAATTATAGAAATCGGTTAACGTGGTCCAAAGTTATCTGCTATAACATACATAAAAAAAAAAAATATATTCCAACGAACTGATAGCCGTCTTCGTTTTGTGAAGTCGATGAAAAACAAAATAAAATGGTTTTACTCTAGTGTGCTGTATAAAGTACATAACTTTATTAATACAATAGATGTTGCGAGCATATCGCACACGATCTTCAAAAGTACCCAGTGGGAATTAGGAGCACGTANCCCAGTGGGAATTAGGAGCACGTAATAATACCTTATTAGCAACTTACTCTTCACCTGGCAGTCATTACCATTTCCCTGCCGAACGTCCCTTACTTTTACAAAGGCATGGCCGCCATATGTAAGTAGGAATTTAGAATGTACATTTGGTATCAGACATACTTCTGAGCCGCTTTACAAAGTAAGTTACGTGTAATGCAGAGCAGTCGCTTGGAGTAGTTCGGTGATTGGAAATAACTTCGGCTGCCAGTCACCGACGAACACTCATCGTGAACGGTCGCTATCTATTTCGCTGT